ATGTTCATGTGGAGGGCTTGCAACAAGCGGTGGATGAGGCTGTGCAGGCAGGACGGCGGCGAGACGAGGGTGTGGGTGACGCACGATGTGTGGTCCGGGAAACAACAACGGGTCTAGTCGTTCCATTCTCGAGCCTGCACTTGGCTCAGGGTCGACAGTCGCAGCCGGTGCCGGTGGCAGTGCATGGTGTGCCGCCGCCCATTATCACGGATTTGGGGTCCGAGCCGGTGGTTGCGCCACCGCGTCTTCCTAGTCACTTTGCTCTGCAGGAGGTCCGCCGTCCTTTGGATGCAGACGAGTTGGCGAGAGAGGCTGTCCGCGATGTGACTCGCCTGGACCGGCGGGTCTTTGACCAGAGGCTACAGCATCCACCATGGCAGGTGATCCCTCCAGTTCCATAGGGTCCTGCGTCGCCGGTGTGGTCTGGGTCTACCTCCACCGGAGCACGTACGGCGGGAGATGTTCCAGGGGTTTTAGGTGGCGTCGTGGAGACGGCGCCACATACACGAGACATGCCACCCCCTCCTCCTAGACCATCGTGCCCGCAGAGGGAGGAGATGCACTTGGAGAGACTTCGGGGGCAGAGGGGTTGGGGATGCCTCGTGGATCGCACCGTGAGCAGACGGTTACAGAGGCTAGTGCGAGGGTTGTTGTGTTGAGGAAGGCAGGAGCCCCTGTCACCATCGAGGAGGATGATCCTTAGACAGATGTGGCAGTGCGGGAGGAGGACGAGGACTATGAGGGCGAGGAGGAGGGAGAGGAGGAGAGCGAGAGAGGTTCTGATGGTGACTACGACCACGACGAGCACGAGCCCCCACCTGCCCCACCGAAAGGTGCAGCTTGACGGCGCGCTGCGCAAACTTCTTCATCATCACGAGGGAGGAGGAGTTCGACATCCGGCACGCGAGGGGGTACGAGGAGACAGAGCGGGAAGGGGAAGAAGCATCGTTGACTGATGAGGCCAACACTCCTTTTTCCCCTGCTCGCACTGCGGTTCGTCATGTTGTGCGGTCCTAGTTTTTTTGGTCGTCTCGTCTTGGCTTAGTGTTGTTAGGCTCTCAGTGGTTGTGTGCGTGCAGTGTGATACAGAGGTTGTGTGCGTGCAGGGTGGGGCCTGTGGGGGTGTGGGGTGGCCGGGTAGTAGGGGTCGGGGGTGAGCGGTGGTGAGTGGGGGTGGGTGTGCAGCTTTGGAGGTCGGAGGTGTGTTTGGGGTGAAAGTGTCGTTTTTGGGGAAATTGGGGCCCCCGAGTGTATGTGGAGGGGGGGGTGGGGGGGGGTATGTCGGCAATTTTTTTTATTTTTTTTTCTGGTTTTAGTGTTCGGGCACGTAGGTACACGTGTCCGAAGCCCAACGCGCGAATTCCGTTTTTCCGAATTCGACGCGACACCCCTGTTTTTGCGTTTAACACGATTTAACGGGGGTCAGGGGCCCGTTAAACGGATGAACGCGCGTTCAATTTTTCGCGTTCTCCGTTAAAAAGATACACAGAAAGTCAGCCAACACAGACACGGTAAGAATAACCACATCTTTCTACGCCGACCTCTACGAGTCCAAAACTACCTCTCCCTCTCAGGTAGCGAACATCAACGCCCGTCAGTGCAAGATGACCTACCTAGAGAGAACAATCAACCAGCGTCACTAGCAACAAACGGAGGACCTAGACAAACCAATCACCCTAGGGGAACTGCACAGTGCCTTGTCCTAGATGAGAAATGACAAAGGACCAGGAATCGACGGCATGTCCGAAGAATTCTGGATCCAGTTCTGGCCCACACTGGGAAACGACCTCCTGAACTTAACGACAACAGGGAAAAAACAGGCCAGGGTGAATATCTAAGCACCAGCATAGTCTCACTAATATACAAGAAGGGCGACAAGGAGGAACTTAATAACTACAGACCAATCTCACTTCTCACAATACCCTACAAAACCTTAGCAAAGACACTAGCAAACATAATCATAGAACTAACAGACAAATGCTTTCACATCGACCAAAAAGGATTCATTCCGGGTCGATATATTTTGGATATTAATGTGATGGCTCTAAACGAAGTTGTAAAGAAGATCATAGAAAAACGGATGCAAGTGGCGATCCTATTCTTCGATTATGAAAAGGACTACGATCAAGTCAATTCGGACTTCCTACATAGTTGCATGGAGAAGATGAGAGTCGGCCCAAACTTCAGAGAGTGGGTAAAAGTACTCTATGGGGACGCCACGACCAGGGTGCAAATAAACAAAATACTGTCAGAATCCTATCCGATATGAGATCGGTCCGTCAAGGCCTACAAATCTCCCTCGGAGGCGGCCATCGACAGCCAAGTCCGTGGCCGAGGCCAAGTCCGCGCTGCCGCCGCTGCGCGACTTTGCGGCCGCATGGCGGCCAGTGGGAAGGGCGGGGCGGGGTTTTGAGAAGTGGCATGGGGTAACAGTCGCAGGTTTGGAGACTTACCTGTTGGACGGTGTTTTTCTCATCCTATCGATGGAAAACCGTCTCTCTCTCTCTCTCTCTCAGAGTTCGTCGATGGAAAACTCTCTTTCTCTCTCTCTCACACACACACACACACACACATGCGCTCGCGCACACACCCACACACATGCGCTCGCGCACACTCACACAAACACACACACACACACTTATTCACACC